CTAAAGAGTCCTAACAACAGGCTCAACAGCTAGAAGTAAGTAAGTAGTGTAGATAGTATCAACTTTATTTAAAGTAACTCTTTACCAATTCAAACAAAAACAACAACAACAACAACAAATTTAAAGATAAAAACTACGATTTTAAAAAGTACAAATGTCTTAACTCTAGTTTTTTTTTTATCTCTCGTTTGTTATCTTTATCATCTTACTGCTATCATTTGGTTTATGTTGGTCGTTAACTTGATTTAATACTAAAAAGCATTAAACTGTTCAAGTTATAGCTTTTAAAATAAACATGAAGCAAGAAGCTGCAATAGAAAAGAGTTTTTGATGTTAATAAGCTTGAGCAAGTTTAAATTTTTTTATTTTAAAATGCGTTGCTATGGCGTTGCTACGGACTTCTCAATCTACTATGGCCACAAAACACATAATTGTACACACTTCCTTTTTTATTTTTTAAAAAAATAATTAATAATATTATTCTATAAAAAATTTTGAATTTAAAAAACCAGTTTTCAAAAAATTGATTTTTTCTAAAAAATTTCGAAATTAATGGGGATGTACCACCTTAAAGCAAAATTAAGAGTAAAATATATTCCCAATATTTTCCTAAACAATTTTACGGAATTTGAAAATTTGACATCGATGTTCTGTGCATATAATTCAAGTCATTTTTAACTACTACATGGTTGTGATTTGCGCATTCAATGTCTGAACATTGCAAAAGAAATGGTTGACTTTATCTTTAATGAAGCTAAGAGTTCTTTTAAACTAAGAAGCCAAGAAAAATAAAAGTGAGCACAACAAAAAAAAAATGTATAAATAAATTTATATTTCATTAGAGAAAGTAAATAAAGATCAAATTGTTAGTAATTCTTTATTTACTACTAACCCGTATTACGGGTTGCTTACTGTATAAATAAATTTATATTTTATTAGAGAAAGTAAATAAATATCAAATTGTTAGTAATGATTTATTTACGACTAACCCGTATTACGGGTTGCTTACTGTATAAATAAATTTATATTTTATTAGAGAAAGTAAATAAATATCAAATTTTTTGTAATGATTTATTTACTACTAACCCGTATTACGGGTTGCTTACTGTATAAATAATTTTATATTTTATTAGAGAAAGTAAATAAATATTAAATTGTTAGTAATGATTTATTTACTACTAACCCGTATTATGGGTTGCTTACTTCTAGTATTAATAATTTTATTTAATATAAAAAGTTCTAATTTGAACCTTGTCGAAAAAATAAGAATAACTTAATGACGTAATTCATTTTGTCGCAATAACTTACAGAGTTATGCAAAATTATAAATTGCTTTATTCAAAATAAAAAATACTTTATGCAAAATTATAAAGTTCTATATGAAAAATTATGAAGTGCTTCATGCAAAATTATAGTTTTTTTGTACAAAAATATAAATTGTTTTACGCAAAATTACAAAGTGTTTTATTTAACAATAAATAAATGCCATTATAATAGCACAGGTCATTTTCAGAATCATCTAGCTGTATAGGAATTAAAATACAATATTAATTTGTAATTAAAAATTAAATAAATAATTGGCTGAAAAACATAAACCAAATAAGTAACATTTTTATCTAAATAATGCAAGTTTTTTAAATTAATGTTAAAAATTAAAAATTTAAAACCTTACATGGCAAGAGAATGTCGAATAACGATAACTAAGGAAATTCATGAAACAATTATAAACATGTCCAATTTGATTAATAATTATGCTCATGTGGAGTTCTTCCTTAGCAACTTACTACTAAGGAAGAACTCCACATGCAAACAATCAAAAACAAAAGTTTATTGTTCAGTGAAATCGAAAATACTAACTTTAATACGATAGCAATAAATAATGAACTAGCACAAAATGAAAAGGTAAATGAAGTTAATGCAGCAACCGGTAAGGTAATATATCAATCAACAGTATCAAAGAAATTGCGGGAAATAAATATAATGCGAAAAGGGCTTTTACTGGTTCCCGAAAAACGAAAATATTGAAAAAAAAAATATGCCCACCGTATCTCGCTTATTTCTAGTGATAAATTGGTCTTTTTAGACGAATCAGGATTTAATCAGCATTTGAGTAGATGATCTGGGTATTAGCAAAAAAACGCAAAAAAATATTCCGTTGTTTACGGAAACAGAAATGCAAATTAAAGTTTGATGTTTGCAATAATAGTTTCTGGTGTGGTTGCTTTTGAATTAAGAACTGAAGTTTATAATGCTGAAAGCTTTGAGAGATTTATAAGAAATACCTTGTGAAGTTTTTTTTCGACAAAACTTGCCCCATATACTGATAATGGATAATGTTCCATTTTACAGATCAGTAAGTGTTATAGAAGTTTTAAATGAATAAAGAATAAATAGAGAATATTTACCGGCATTGACTCCTAAATTGAGGAGTGTTTTAGCATAATAAAGGCAAGATATCCATTGAAGAGTGTTTTAGCATAATAAAGGCAAGATATCGCGGAATAAAAGCTTTAAATAATAAAATTAATATTGGAAATGCATTGGAAATAATTTTTTATCAAAAGCGTGAAATTAACGAAGAATTAAGTGGATTTTAAATATTAATTGAACGATGGTTGAAAATAGCTAAACAAAACATGATTTTTGAATAAAGAGGCTGTTTAAGTTAATAAAGTCTTTCTGAAGTCTAAATGTTAAATGACATGAGCTTATATATAACTAAATCATATGTTAAACATTAAATGGATTTATTAAATGATTCGAAGTTTTGTATAAAGCACTTAATAGTTTTGCATAAAACAATTTATAATTTTGCATAAAGCATTTTATACTTTTGCAAAAAGCACTTTTTATGTTTGCATAAAGCACTTTTTAATTTTGCAACAGCCTGTAAACTAATTTTTATAGTTTTAACTCACGTTACACAAATTCGAAATAAAAATGTATTATAACTAAGCATAGTTATTCAAAACCTTTGATTGAAAAACATACCTAAAACTTTTTCGCATATATTATTAAAAAACTTAAATTTTTTAACTGAATTTTATAAAAAAACAACTTCATTATGTTTTTGTTAACTTAACTACCACCTATTCTTGTCATTATAAGAAGCCAACTCTCTCTGATTGCTTTTAGGGGGCATTTGAGCTTAAAAAGGATCTCACATCTGCAACAGCATAAGGCACACAGTGGCTGGTGAACTTTAATTTAGATAAAACTTAATTTTTTTCAGATAATCCTTATCGTAGTAATTTAGACCTTTCTATATATATGAACGGTTATGTACTCGATGAGTCATCTAATATATATCCTCTATGTTTAACTCGATCTCTCTTGAAAACCATATATCAAATCCGTTGCAAAATTAGCATCTGCTAATGATAAAGAATCGAATCCAGAGTAAGAAAGTATTGAGCTCGATTAAAAGATGAATCTTTGAATCGAGCTCAATACTTTCTTAATCTGGATTCTATTCTCTATCTCTATAAATCTCAAATCCAGTCTTGTATGGAATACTATTGTCATATCTAGGGTGGATCTTCTAATGATGCCCTTTCTTTTATAGACAAGGTGCAAAAACGCATTGTTAACTTAATTAGACCTGCTCTTGCAGCCAACTTTCAACCATTATCACATCGTCGTAATGTTGCTTCTTTTTCTCTTTTCTACAAATACTATAATGGACAATGCTCTAAAGAACTCTTATTCCTCTAATTTTTTCCCTCGAACATCTAAAATCTTTAAAATTCGCTTCCTTCATCTTGCTTTCCTGATACATATAACTTGCAATCTTTTAAGTCGTCTAACAATCGTTATTTTGCTCTACAATCTTCATCTTCCCTGATTCAGTAACTTCCAACTCTACTTAGTAGTTCCTTGTAGTCGTGTTGGAAGTGTTGATTTTCAAGAAAAAAAAAGAAAACTCAAGTTACATGAAAATTGCAAAAGTAAAAATATTCTAAGAAAAATATTTTACGATGAAACCTTTTTATCATGCGTCTATGAAAAAGACCGTAACATTTAGTGATCAACCGAAATTTGGTTCGGTTCTGGTTTCGGCAACAACTCAGAGCAGATTTTTTTTGTTTCTGTACCGGTTTCGGTATTATTTAAGATTTCGGTTCCGGCCGGAATTTCGGATCAAAATGCTCCCGTAAATGGATATTTTAAAGCTTTATTAAGAATTACCACTTTGATAAAATACTTAAAAAAATTTTTTTTTAATTATATGATAAGCTTGAGAGTTAATGGAAATAAGATTTTGGTTTGTTTGAAAACGAAATAAGTTTCTTGTTTAAATTAATATTCATATTTTGAATAGTTTTTTATCGTTATTATTTGAAAAATAATATTGTTGTTATTAGTATAACAACTCTTTTTTAAGTTCTCTACAGCTGGAGATATTCTCTCAAACGAAAGAAACAGAATCCATCCTGAAAACTTCTTTTTTATAGAGAAAATTTTCCAGTTGTTGGGTTCTGTTATTAGTTATTTTTATTAATTTGATATTTTGTTTAAATTAAAACTAACTTTAAAAAACAGTATATATTTTCTTCTTTCGATTCCGGCCCCTGTTCTGGTTTGAGTTTATATCCTGTTGCGGTTCCGGTTATAGATAATAAAAATCATTTTTCGGTTCGTTTCCGGTTCCGGTAAACATTTTTTTCCGGTTGATCACTAGTAATATTCGGGGGCATAAAAATGACTTAAATAAATTAATTTTAGTCTTAAAGATATATTTTAAAAAAACATTTTTTGTGTCTGCATCAATATTCATTTGCTAAATGTTGATAAAAAAGAGAATAAAATTTGACTACTTTTTCATTTTTCGCAGTGGAGTTGCCAAATTTATTAAATTCTAAAAGTAGCAATAAGAGTAAATAAAAAATGTTAATTACATTGTTATTTTGTCAGTTTATTATAATGAGTAATGTTTACATATTTACTCGCTTTGTTTGATTACAATAGCTTATTGCTAAAGTTTAAAGAAATTTGGTTTAAAATTCTGGTAAAAAATGATTTCTAGGAAAGTTTAAGGAAATTTGGTTTAAAATTCTGGTAAAAAATGATTTCTAGGAAAATTCTAGATATTGTTTTTAAATATATTTTTATTAGGTATATATATGCTTTTTCATAAAATTTTTATAAAAGTCTTTACTTAAAGTATTATAAAGTTATATTATTTTTAATTTTAATTTTTTTTTATTTTCATTTAATTTTTCAGTTTATCTTTTTAAAGAAAACTATTATCTTTACTTTAATATTTAGATATGTAGTTTCTCATTCTGCTTTTTTAGCTTTGCAAAAACTTCTTAAAATATGAGCAAACTGCCAAACTTTGTTACCAATTTATTAAACCGTAAAATAAAAAATAATGCTAAAGAAAATCAATCAGTCACTTTTAAACTCAAACTAAATGGGTTTCCTGTAAAACCACCTGTAAAAGTACCGGAATTCATTTCGATTCGTGATGTATTAAATAACTGTGACATTGATAATGATCTTAAAGGTGAGCTAGTTATGTCTACAAAACCACCGAAACAACCGATTTTTGCAGCATTAGGAAACAGTTTAATCGGAGCCTTGTATGACGCTTATAAAAATCACTATGCTATTTCGATTCGCCCTGATGATGTCTGGTTAACAATAATCATAGAGCTAGCAGACTACGTTGATAAACACGCCGAAGAGATGCGTAATCTTTTTGTAAACCACGAGGGAAAAAAGGTATTGACAGTTATTAGCGATGTTGGTGGTAATACTGTAAACGATTGGGCCGGTTTAATCAAAAAAATATCAAATCTTATTGTTGAAAATACTGAAGCCAACTTGCGCGATTTTATTGAGCCTCAGTTTTCAACCACTACACCCAACGACAGTTTGATTGCGCGAGTAGCGCTAATGGGAACTGTGAAAAACTATTTTTCGTATCATTTTCTTTTGGTATGCGGCATACCTCAGGTAACTTTAATGGGAACAATTGGTGACTGGATAAATTTAAAAGAAAAAATTGTTGAACTTGGTAAGAGATTTGCTGAAAATCAACCAGAGCTAGGTTGGTGGAGCAATATTTTAGTTCCTATTGCCGATAAATTTATTGAAAGTTATAATGGAAATCCTAATGAAAATTTTTGGCAGAGTTGCGTTGATTTTCATGCCGAACGAGGTTCACCATCATGCATTAATCCAAACAACGAATGGAAGCCAAGTTACTTAACTGGATGGGCATTAGCATTTTCGCCTTTTTTTAAAGGTCATTGGCGTTTAAATAAACCAGAAGAAATTTTAAAATCGGGTTTTTATGGAGAAGTTCTTGAAAGAGAATCAAAACTCAGCGTTGTTAAAGTTGATTTTAAAGTAAATGAAAAAAATGGTTGTTTTTATGCAGGTAGCATCGTTAACACCTACCAGAAAAATACAAACACTATTCGACCCAACTTTGATTTTGCTATGTTTATGGTCCCATTTGAAGGCATAGTTAAAAACAAGTTTTATGATTTTGATTAAATTACAAAATTAAAAACCATCCGTAATACTTTTATACTAAAAACTTATGTTTAACATATATTTTATTTAACATACTTATGTGCTTAAAACATTTAATGCATAACATAATTGAAGTTAAATATAATTAATGTCTTTTATAAGTTTTGCTAAATTTATTTTATCTCAATGAAGTTACGCCTGACATATAGTTTATCTTTAATAATTATGTTTAACACAATTGAGTCGGTGAAAAGAAAAACAATCAGGGTGTCTGCCAGATCAGGGAAATCAGGGAAAACATAAAAAGGTCAGGGAAATCAGATATCCCCCCAAAATTTAGAGGATTATCAGGTAAATTAGGTTAAATTTAAAAAAAATCAGGGAAAAATTAGTGAAAATGGTTCTTTATCAAGATTATATAACTTAAATAATATTGAACACGTATTAAAAAAGTTTATTTGGAAGGTAGTTTTTTGAAATTCTTATGATACATCTAATGTGGGTTATTGTTAACATTTGTTGTTAATTGTGATATTTATTCCTTGTAATTGTGTTATTGTTAACATTTTTGCAGTTGAAGAGCATTTTTCTAAACGAACCTAGGTCAGTTTTTGTGAAATTGAGTTTGGGTAACTTTAAAAAAGATAATATTAATCCATATTTTTTTCATGTTCAATTATGTACCAATATCACAACATATCACCACAATTATTTTGGAAATTGTTATACACGTAATGTGATAGTGACCTACAAAACTTCTTGTTGTGAAACGCAATACTTCTCAGTTTATGAACATTCTCCAGAAAGTGTCTCGCTTTGCCCGTATATATATATATATATATATATATATATATATATATATATATATATATATATATATATATATATATATATATATATATATATATATATATATATATATATATATATATATATATATATATATTGTTGTTTATTATTGTATCTGGTTGAGATACAAATCCTCTTGTTTACTTGAGAGTGATCAATATAATGTAAAAATAATTTTTACAAAATAGATCAATATATATATAAATAAAGTGTAATTAAATAGAAAAATACAACTTTATAATGGAACTAAAAGTTTCATGCCTATCGGCAATCTTCAGCCATATATATTATACAAATCAAGAAAAAACCGTTAAAAAATACAAAATACAAAAAAAGCAGTAGAATGAGTTCCGACGTCAAAACAAAACGAATAAAAAACCGAATAAAAAAGAAGCATAGTTGTAAAACTGCTAATCACCAGTGTCAAATTGGGCAAGAAGAAATTTGTTTTTATGCCGGCACTTAGATAATATTTCACTCTTTTTATTTAACAAATTTGGGTGTTTAAAAAAATAAAATTTCGTACTTTTCGTTTAAGCATAAGTTACATCGTTTTGTTACAGGGTTATAGGCATCGCACTGTTTAATTATTTTCCACCTAACAACCGGGTTTAAGTTTTCATCTTTTAATATCCAAACCTCCTTTGATAATTCAGTGTCATTTTTGTATTTGGGAATTTTAAAAGATTTAATGTGGTTAGCATATCTAATTTTAAAAGATGTTTCGCTTATGCCAATGTAAAATTTATTGATGGGAGATTGAACAAGATTGTTTGAGCATACATTAGCTTGATATACTATATTTTTTGTTAAGCATTGGTTTGATAAAGGGCAGGTGTTTTTATCTATGCAATTGCAATTATTTTCAGCTGATTCTTTCTTGTTGTTTATGACATGGTGATTGTGGGCGTTTAAAACGGATTTCATATTAGGCATACAGCTATAACTTACTTTTAATGTGTTTCTGTTAAAAATTTTGTGCAACTTGTGATTTTTAGGGAAGTGCTTATCAATTAATGTTAAAAATATTTTTCCTATATTCGTGCTGACGTTTTTGCTAAAAGGCGGGTTGAACCAAATGATGTTACGTTTACGGTTCTTAGTGTGAGATAATCTTAAGTTAGGTTGGTAAGAAAGATTGTAATTAAAACCGGACTTTTTTAATGCTTCATTATACATTGGAGTGGATTTTTGAAAGATTTCCTCGCTTGACGAATTTGCTGATAATCTTAATTCAATAGAATGTGGGAGTTGCTTTAAAATACTGGATGGGTGGTTTGATTCAGCATGAATGTAATTTAAAGAGTTTCCGGGTTTAGAGTAAGGTTGGTAGGTGTGGTTGTTGAGGTTTAATGTAATGTCCAGATAATTTACGATTTTTATGTTGCACTGTGTTGATATCAGAAGATCGTTCGATTTAAATATTTTAACAACATGTTTTTTTATTTTTTCCATATGGGGACCACTGATGTTTTTAAAAATCGCCAAACCATCATCACGGTATAACCCGAAATCATTCTTATTGTAAAACTGTGTAATCTGAAATAAAAGAAAAATCCCCACAAGTTCACACACTTCGGCGCCATCAAATGCTCCCATCGAAACATCGAATAATCCGCTTGACTTCTTAATCCAAACTTGATTGCTATCAAACAACAGTGACTTTCTGGCGTGGTAAATAATCGATTTTTGCTCAGGATCTATAATCATACGCTGCTCAGCAAAACTAATAGCATTTTTAAGTAGTTTTTCACTTATTGAGGGATAAAAATCAACAATATCAAAAATGAGAAACTTATAAAGGTTTGGATCACTGATCGACTTGAACCAGCATATTACATCTTGTGTTTTTTTCCACTGATTGAGATGGAGTCTTTTTACAAGTTCAGAATTTATGTTTGAAAGAATAACTTTACTAATTCTGCCAATTTCATTTTTGGCAGGGTTTATTAATCGAACTGTTGGATTGTTTGCAAAATTTTCTTTGTGGTCTTTTAATGTTATAAAGCAGTTAGATGATGTGTTGATATCGATTTTATTAAAAATTTCATGATTCTGTAAAATGCGTTTACCTTCTTTATTTATATCATTTTTTAATTTAGGATTCGATTTTTTGTAAGTTGAAGTTACGGCATTGGTTAATAAATGATTGTAGTCTTGTTTAGATAAGTTATATAAATTAGATGTTTTATCTGCAAAAGTGTAGGTAAAATTACAATTGCGTATATTAGATATATCTTCTTTTAATTTTTTCTGGAATTTGCTATAAACTTTACGAAATTTTATGTTTTTTATTAATTCTATTAATTCGTTTTCAAATGCACACATTTCAGTAATTTGTTTAGGGTAATTTGGTGTTTTTATTCCATAATTATTATTATAAAAGGTATTGTACTTACTATTTCGATTGTCATTAATAAAGTAAAACGCTTTCCACCTCATTCTTTTTATTAATGCTTCGGTTTTGCTAATTAATTGTTTTTTGTATTCTTTAATTGGTGGAATTGGAATGTTCTTGACAGAATAATTCAAGTTCGTTTTTTCCATTTCGCAGACAACTTGAGTAGAGTGCTCAACGTACGGAGCAATTTATTGTTGTTTATTATTGTATCTGGTTGAGATACAAATCCTCTTGTTTACTTGAGAGTGATCAATATAATGTAAAAATAATTTTTACAAAATAGATCAATATATATATAAATAAAGTGTAATTAAATAGAAAAATACAACTTTATAATGGAACTAAAAGTTTCATGCCTATCGGCAATCTTCAGCCATATATATTATACAAATCAAGAAAAAACCGTTAAAAAATACAAAATACAAAAAAAGCAGTAGAATGAGTTCATGTATTATAAATATAACTCATTCTACTGCTTTTTTTGTATTTTGTATTTTTTAACGGTTTTTTCTTGATTTGTATAATATATATGGCTGAAGATTGCCGATAGGCATGAAACTTTTAGTTCCATTATAAAGTTGTATTTTTCTATTTAATTACACTTTATTTATATATATATATATATATATATATATATATATATATATATTTTTTATTTTTTTTTTATTTTAATTCACCTCCTCAAGGCCGAGAAGGCCACTAAAGGCTACTTATTTGTGGCTTTAACCCTCTCTCAACTCTATAACTCCGAAACACGAACCTTGACAAACAAGGCCGCTGCGCGGAGAAACGAGTTGAGCGCGGTACTACCAGGGACGTGGTGGGGATATATATATATATATATATATATATATATATATATATATATATATATACATATATATAAATATATATATATATATATATATATATATATATATACATATATATAGATATATATATATATATACATATATATATAGATATATATTGATAAAGATATATATATATATATATATATATATATATATATATATATATATATATATATATATATATATATATACAGTAAATATATATATATATATATATATACATTATATATATATATATATATATATATATATATATATATATATATATACATACATATATATATACATACATATATATATATATATATATATATATATATATATATATATATATATATAGTATATATATATATATATATATATATATATATATATATATATATATATATATATATATATATATATATAATATATATATATATATATATATATATATATATATATATATATATATATATATATATATATATGTATATATATATATATATATATATATATATATATATATATATATATATATATATATATATATATATATATATATATATGTTAGTATACATATTAAATTGTTTGTAGTATGTTTGAGTAATAAAGTTTATATAAGAAAAAAGAGATATTCTTTTTGTTATTACTATATATTTATCTTAAGATAAGTATAATTAGGGAGGGGGGTCCATAATCGTCTTTTTTTAGATTTTTTATAGTTTAACCAATTTTTCTTAATTAGGTTTTCGTGCTGGTTCTGAAAAAAAAAATCATTTTTTTATCATTTTATTTATTTAGCCTTCTACTTTGATTTTAATAAAAGTAAATATATTGACAAAAAAAGGCATTGTTAAAAATAGATGAAATTTATTATTATCATTAAATATAAGAAAAGTAGAAAACTAGAAATCTTTTTCTGTTTAATTTATCAATAATATACCTTATTTTTTATAAGTAACAAAAAAAAATTAATCATTATATATGAAAATAATTCATACAGTTTGTTATTTACTATTGAAAATGGAAAATAACTATAAAAGTCATCATATGTGATAGAGATTGCTGCGTGAACTTTCCGTATAGAACGTTAAGGTTATGAGCGTGTTCTTTCTTATCTTGCACACCTGATGTAAAGTTTGCTGCTCTTTCATTGTTATCCATTTTTTTGTAGCTGGTTTCAATTATATTCCATAGTTTCAAATTTTTGGACAAATAACTGGACAATAATTCTCCAAAATATTTTTAAACTACGCGAACTTTCATTTTTTATATGGTTTAAATAATCAAGTATACATCTACTGTTGAAATTAAATGGGTTTTTCCAAAGCTTTCCAAATGCAACAACTTAATTAGAAAGTTAATACTAATCATATTCCATCATAAACCAAAAAAGTAATACTTTTCTCTTTTTTGAAGTTCTGAGGCTAACTTTTGCCAAAATACTCTTGCAAGAATGATACAATCATTCAAGCTCTTTGAGGTATACTTATTAACTGCTTCTAGAATTTTTTTTAACTAGCTATTCACTGCGTTTTAAAATAAAGCAAAAAATTTCAAAGTTTGATCACCAGTTTGTTTTTTATGAAGCCTTTTAGGTAACGGTGTTTCTTTTTATTAACTGTTTATCTTTAGAATTGTTAAAACTTTAGAATTTAACTGAACTTCTACTGACGGGCACTTTAAAAGAAGATTTATTCTTGACTTCATTAAAGAAAAGTGAAAAAAAATGAAATCTTGAATAGCCTTCTTGATAGCTTGAATAACGATTAAAAAAAAAAAAAAAAAGGAAATTAAGATATTTTGAAGCAATCTGTCTTTTTGATTACTTAAAACGTTTTGTTTAGAAAGAGACTTCAGATAAAACTTTTTTTTGAAGCAATCTGTCGTTTTACTTATTTAAAACATTTTTTTTAGAAAAAGACTTCAGATAAAACTTTTTTTTAAAACACAACGATTATTTCATAATTAACATAATAACAACATAAATAACAAATAACAACATAAATTATTTCTGAGGATTTATCGAGTTAAAAGCAATTCATTTATAACTTTAAATTGGTTTATAACCTATAAACCTTAAAATCGCTTCCACTGTTAATTGCTAATAATGGTAACGCAAAAACAGCTTAATGATGCTCTTGAAAACGCTGATAAAATTGCCAAAGAAGAGCTGAAAAAAGCTCTTTATATATATATATATAAAGAGCTTTTTTATATATATATATATAATTAAAACACTTACCGCCAGAATTGACGAACTTACTAATAGAACTGATCTGCAGGATATTGAAATAAAGTCTTTAAAAGATAGTAAAAGTAGTGAAAAACCTTTGTTATTTAAATTAGTTGAACAAGTCAGCAAACCCGGTACATTAGCAAACGTAGCTGTAGTAAGCGCCCTCAATAAGCATAACAAGGACGTGACTAACAGAGAAAAGAGAATTGTAGTGTTTGGTCTACCAGAATCTGTTAAAACTCAACCAAGCGAGTTAACCAAAGATGATACCGCGGAATTCAAGAAGGTTATGGCATCTTTAAGTAAATCAGTCAATGTAGTTAGAATTGAACGTTTCAAAAAAAAAAAGAACTTTGATTGTAGTAAACCCACTCCTCTTATGATTGAAGTTGATTCAGTATTTATCAGAAATGACGTTCTAGTGAAGGCTAAACAACTGGCATCGGGTACTTTTAAAGATGTATTTATACGCCCCAACCGCACAGCAGCAGAGCAAAGTGAATTTATTAAATTAAACTTAGAAAGAAAAGCAGCTAATTCTGACCTTGACAAGCTTGGAAAACTTGACAAACCCTTTAGACTTGTCATCCGCAGCGATAAATTGCAATACATTGATGTCTCGCAGGAAGTCGAAATCAATGGACGTAAAAAGCATCCTTTCATCAAATGGAAAGATGCACAAGCAGCCAGAATTGCCAAAACACAATGAATCAAATCGTTTAACTGCGAACACTTACTTAAATGCATTAAATACAAAAATAAAATCTGCTAAATTTAACCCTAAAAATAAACTTTTAAAATGTTTTTATACTAACGCAACTTCTCTTAATCCGACTAAAATGAACGAGTTATCTGCACTCTGTGATATAAACATGCCTGGTTTAATCTTTATTTCTGAGACATGGTTTAATGAAACATCTGCCACTCAATGAAATAACTATTCACTAGTGAAAAAAATAGAATAGGTCACGGTGGAGGAGTTGCTATCTACATTAAGTGTGATCTAGTTGCGCATGAGGTATCTGGTTGTCATCTAAGAGAGATTTTAAACAACAGCAACTCCGAGCAAATATGGTGCGAAATTAAAATCGTTAAAGAAATGATTCTTATTGGGTGTATCTATAGACCACCTTTATCCCATATAGATGATATAAATAAAACAATTATTTCAGCTAAGCAAGCTGTTGATAGAAAAGCGTATAGCTGTATGTTATTAGCAGGTGATTTCAACTTTCCGGACATTAAATGCCATAATGACGAAAGAATTGAATTACTAAGCGGTCAAAATAGTGCTGCAAGTGTTTTTCTTGTAACTTTGGCTAATCATAATCTAGAACAATTAGTTGATTTCTCAACCTTCGAAGCATCTAATAGAAATGCAAAAAATGTTTTGGATTTAATTATTACAGACTCTTCAACTAGAGTAATCAATTTATCTAGCTCTATACCGTTAGGTGATTTGTCACAAGGTCACCGCATATTGAGTTGGTATTATGTCGTCCTCTCTAAAAATAGGACAACTTTCTCAAACAAAAAATATGATTTTAATAAGGGTGACTATAAAAACTTCGGTAAAAAGATTATGGAAACTAATAAAAACACTAACGAATGCTATGAACTTTTCTGCAATAAATATGTTAAACTCAGCAAGCAATTCATCCCGTTAAAAAAAGTCTATTCTACTCGTAATGCACCGTGGATGAATAAGGAAGTATTAGCTATGATAAAGAAAAAACAACAACTGGGCAATTACTTATCTATGACAAACTGGGGATCATCAACCCTCATTTGTGAATATAAGAAACTAAGAAGCCAAGTTCAGAAAGCATGTACACATCGTGTTCGAGTATTTGAAGCCCAACTGGCATCAGGTAAAAATAATCCAAAAAGAATGTATGGTTATGCTAAAGCGCGACAGAGCGTACATGTATCTATTGGCGCTATATCAGATGCAAAAGGTGAAAAGTTAACAGAGGTAATACATATCGCAAACAGACTTAACGAACACTTTAAATCAGTTTTTGTTGATGATAGCATAAATGATCAGTTACCGGTTTTTGAGAGAAGACACAATCAAGAAGACTTAGGCGATGTAATAATAAGTTTTGAAGCAACGCTAGCCTATTTGAATGGTTTGAACCCGAACAAATCTATTGGTGTTGATAACATTAGTCCAAATAATGTGCAGCTCAAATTAGTACTTAAATAATGTGCAGCTCAAATGACTTACCCTCTAACATTAATTTACAATAAAGCACTGTCTGAAGGCTCAACACCTCTAGCCTGGAAGCAGTCACATATTACACCGTTGTTTAAAAAAGGAAGTCGTCTTGATGCCGCTAATTACAGACCAGTGTCTATCACTTCAGTTCCATGTGAAGTAATGGAAAAGATTATCAAGGAACAGATAACTAAATATCTTGAAAAAACGAGCTGCATCTCAAATAATCAACATGGATTTATGTCCAAAAAGGGATGCACGTCTAACTTATTGGAAAGTATCGACTACATTACAAAAGCGTTAAGCAAAAGAAATTTTGTCGATATTGCATTTTTGGACTTTGCAAAATCGTTTGATAAAGTTTCTCATCGTAGACTAATACATAAATTGAAAGCATATGGGATCAATGGTAATGTTGGCAAATGGATTGAGTCATTTTTGACTAGCAGAAAACAACGAACAGTTTTAGGTAATCACTCTAGCGGCTAGACCGATGTTTTAAGCGGAGTTCCACAAGGGTCTGTACTTGGTCCAACATTATTCATTATCTACATAAACGACTTAACGGATAATTTAAAATCAGTTTATAAAATTTATGCTGATGACACTAAACTGTTGCAAGAAATAAAACCTGAGTTTCACGATGCTGATTGTCTGATTCTTCAAAATGATTTAAACATTATCTCAGAGTGGTCAAAAGAATGGCCTATGGAATTAAATGTTGCAAAGTGTAAAGTTGTGCACTTTGGTCACGGAAATATAAATCATGAATATGTAATGAATGATGGTAATACATTTCTTATTATAGCGGCAACGGATGTTGAAAGAGACCTGGGTATCTTTTTATCTAACGACCTAAAATGGAATCAACACATAGAGGTTGCGACACGTAGAGCAAATATGATACTTGGCCTACTAAAAAAAACATTTAGATCAAGAGATATTAAGCTTTGGGGTAAACTATATACTACATATGTTAGGCCGCACCTGGAATTTGCTGTTCCGGTATGGTATCCTTACTTAAAGGGCGACATCAAAGAAATTGAAAAAATTCAGCACAAAGCAACAAAAATTCCTCATGATATAAAAAGTTTACTTTATGCTGAAAGGTGTCGGCGTCTCAATTTTACTTCTTTGGAAACTCGCAGGCGACGCGGCGACTTGATCCAACAGTTTAAACTTGAAAACGGTTTTGAGATTATTAATTGGCATAATCGCAGAACACCATCCAACGTACTAACGCGTGATTCCACTTACAATAATGCTCGACATAATTTCTTCAGAATTCGTATTGTGAATGATTGGAATTATTTACCGTTGTCATGCAAAAAGACTCCGTCAATTAACCCATTCAAAAGTAGAATTGACAAGTATTTTTTTCCTACAGCTGCAAACAGCGCATCTTTTACTGAAGATGAGCTGCACGTTTAATTTAATTAATTCGTGCTTTAGCAGCTACAAATATTGACTTTTTAGGTACATTTGTCATAAACGTAAACTGTAATTAAACGAAAGCAAAAAAAAAAAAAAAAAAAAAAAAAAAAAAATTGCTTTTGTTTTTTAATCTGTTTATTGGATTGTTTTTTTATTTGTTTGTCATGTAATCTGTAAAGAATTATTTAAATATATTACTATTACTATAAAAAATCAAATTTATCCAATCAAAACTGAATAGCATAAATTTGAAAGAATAGTTGCGTAACTTTATACGCAAAGAAACTTTTGCAAAGACTTTTATTTTTTATATTATTTAAATTTTTAAAATAGAAGTAGAAGGTCAACCATAAAAAATTAGCAAAAAATGAATTGTTTTTAAAACTTTTCTCAAAAAATTAATTAAGAATAACTGGTTAAACAAGAAATATAGAATATTGGACCTCCCTGGTATAATGTTGATTTAATTGTTTTATTTTCCTAATCGGTCATATGGTTCATTGTTATCAAAGGTACACATGTTAGAAGATCAACGCAACGCAACATTCAACGCATGAGATCATAAGATCATAAGATTAATATAATATCAAAAATTTCTCATGCTACAATATCAAATAATTATCTCAATATGATATCATATAGATATCATAACCATGGATAAATAAATTTAAGTATGGTTGTGATATCATCATGAAATCAAATTGAGATTACGACTTGATATCAAACCATGAGAAATTTTTGAAATCTAAGTTACATCACATTGATATCAATTTTTGAACAAAACACCTAAAACTCGAGTTTGTGGTGTTTTGTCAGAAATTGATATCAATGTGATGTAATTTAGATATCAAAAGTTGCTCTTGATTTGATATCATATACCATAATATCATATTGAGAATCTCAAAATGATATTATGGTAGGGCTTAGCAAAAACCAGAAAATTTCAAAAAACCAGCTTTCGGTTTTTTTAAATTGTAAAACCGGATAATCAGTTTTACACTGGTTTTTTATTATAAAAGCAAATTTTCATTATTGCGTTTAAATCCAAAGCAACAAACAGGATTGATATACTGGACTTAGATCTGTAAACTAAAAGAAAATATTTCATATTTAAGAAAGTTTTTCATACTTACAAAAATGAATTTTTTTCATTAAATATTAAAAGTATTATGAATGTATTATCAAGTATTTATCAATGTACAGTAATATTCACATCTTTTGTTATTCATTGTTAATTTAGTTCGAATCTAATGAAATTGAATCATTTTTTCTTGTATGTCTCTTTTTTCTATTCCAATCCTTTTTTTTTTCTGACAACTCAATAACCTTTTTTTTTAATACTCTTTATAACTGAAAATGCTACTTTTAACTAAAGTTTATGCATGTGATCTGTTTCCAAAAATATTATGTCAAAATATACTACAATTTATAATATTTAAAGTAATACAAAAGTCAAAATTACAAAAACAAATTTGTTGACAAAAAATTTGATATTGTTATTTTATTATTTTTTTTTAGTTCACAATAATAGTTGTGATACAAAATAATAATAGTGAATAATAATAATAATAGTTGTGATACAAAATAAAATAAAAGTCTTGGAATAAAATAAACAATTCAGCGTACTAACAACCCGACGGGCATTTGTTTTTAAAAGTTACGTTCTAAATGTATTTTAAATGTCTTTTAAACGTTTTTTGCGTAAGAATGTTTAGAAGACGTTTAAAAGACATTTAAAATATATTTAGAACGTAACTTTTAAAAATAAATGCCCGTCGGGAACATAAAGTTAGGTTTTGAAAAAAAGATCATAAGTATCATTTCATCAGAATCTTAAAAGTTAAACATATCTATATGTAATGTATAGATATGTTGAAGATTTAACATAATGCAAAAATGCAACATACAAGTATTTTAATATATAAAATGCTGAAGATTTAACAAATTCATTTTAAATACGTTTTCAGTAGAATTTTAGAATGCTGTTCATAAAGAAAATATTTTAAAAACTAGTTTTAAATACAGGAAGAGTAAAAGAAGGATCAATATTTGGTAATATCATTTTATTTCAAAGATGACGTGCAAGATTTTGAGATTTAACAATTTCAGTTTTAAAATAATTAAAGAACAAACAAAATGAAATATCAAACAAAAATATCAGTTGACAAAATATCTTAAGTTAGTGTTACTTGATTTTCCTGGATTGTTTTGATTATGTTAAGTACTTTAAAAGTTTAAATATTGTAAAGGATTCTGTCAGTATGTAATCTATTAAGAATTGGTAAAAAAAGTATTGACATTACCTAATGACATTGTATAAAGATTATGCTCATTCGCTGCTGTATTGTTTTGTAAACAACGCAAGTGTTCACTTCTTGGATCAATTACTTACGTATAACTTTCTCTGTCTGAACCATTTAGCTTCTGCAGCAGAAAGATTCGTTGTTTACAAAAGTAACTTTTTTTTATCAAAAATGAATGCTATTTACTTAATTCTGGAAAATTTTTCTTCCTTGACACTGTGCAATTAGAGAATCTAACAATTCTTGGACAAGTCTACTCAAAAAATGAAAACTTTTTTACTTCTCCTAGTAATTCAAAAAATTATGGTATTTATCGAGTGCAATATTGTGATACAGAAATGATGTTTCTATCTTACGATAAATTGCAATCAAAAGTGATACGAATTCCACTAGCTTATTTTGAACATTTTAACTTCACATCATTAGTTATATTATTACTTGTACATAAGCAATAATATAACTTTTAAGTGATTTGCACAGTTTTAACTTAACTTTATGTTCAATACTTTATCTTTATTGATCTTTGTATGCAATTTTTTTAACTAATTAAAATTTGAATTTATTTAATTTTTCTATTTCCTTATCAGTTAAGTTGACATTTACAAATTATTTTTATTTAGTGAATGCTTGTGTTTTTATAGTGTCGAAAATGTTATTATTTCTAATAAGTTATTTTGCAATATTAATTTTTTGAATCTTTAATAATATTTAAAGTAACTAACTGCAGTAATTTTATATAGTAACAATATGTTCAGGGAACATGGCTTACTAGAGTTACCATATGTTTAGGTAACATGGATTCAGTTGCGAAGTATCCTTTAACGTTGACAGGAAAAATATATATATATATATATTTGTATATCTATTCCAAACCAAACTTTTCTATACTTTTCTCTTATATATCTTAGCTTTCCGGATCTGTAAAATACATATCTTTACCAATTGACATATCTATTCCTCGCCGATTATTTCTATACCTATTCCTTATTTACTTAATAAATAATAATTTTGAAAAAAAATTTAAGAGCAAAAAACTTAACATGCGCACCTTTTCCGCATACGTAAAGCTTATAAGAGACTTACAAAAGGTTTTCTTACTGCTAAATGCATTAAATTGATAGCTCAGTTGTTAAATGCGCTGTCATCAGTGTTGTTTTGGAGGGTTTAAGACATTCTCTTAGCGTAATGAATTTTGAAATTTTTTCTATCTTGCTTATATATTCATAGCGAAAAAATAATAATATAGAAACAAAGATTTCTAAAATTCAAAACAAACTTTTCAAGTTTTCTCATTTTATGATATATAAATATACGCTTCTATTCCATATAATGGCTGCAAACTCAACATATGCTAAAGACGTTTACACTTGCATATGTTTGTACGTAACGCTATTCAAGAAGATCTAAGCAAATCGAAGCACAAAACCAAAGTCATATAAAAAGTTAATGTTTATGATTAAGAAATAAAGAATAATATTAAACGCTTATCAAAAAGATTTTGGGCAATGATGTCAGTTTGTTGCAAAATAAACCTTTATGGATCAAGTTTCCTTTTATATTTATCTAAAAATATAACTTTTTTAAAATTAATTTTCATTATGTTGCATATAAATGCAAAAAATATATAAAACTGGTACAGATATATCTCACGGATAAGAGACCATATTTATTAAAATAGAAATAAATAAATAGTTTTTGACTTTTTTAGAATATATTCCACAAAAATATATTTCATATATCTTTAATAGATAGAGTTCTTTAAAAAAAATTTAACAAAATCTTATTTATATGACTATCATTTTTAAAGATATAAAAAGCAGATGACATAATTTTTAAAGGGGCAAATTTAAAGTTGAAGTTTCAAATTTTCCAATTTGACAATATGTTTCCTGTTTTTTCAATCTTGTCAATTTATTTAAATATAATAACATAACTACAAAAAATCAAAACGCAACAGCTTGAGCAAAAACGACTTGTAATTTATTAGAAAAGTTTATTTATATAAAACTTTATATAAGTGGATTTTCGACAATTTATAAACAATATATGTATAATATATTTTAAAACATTTTATTTGTTTATATATACATTGTTTACATAGAGATGGTTGAGGGTAACTAAGTTAAAAAAAAATTAGTTTACATAAAAAATAAAAAATGATTAATATAATGTTTTTTTGCAAAAACCATCGCACAATAATAAAATTTTTAAGTGCTATAATAAAGTTTTGAACTACAATTACTTTATTCACTATAATAAAATTTTTCAGTATAATAAAATTTTTAAGCATTGAACAGCATTTTTCTTTTAATTCTTTTGGTTTAGTGGTGTTTTAGTTTAAACTCTATTCATTGATTTGGTTTATACGAAATCGATCACTAGATACAATGTAGAAACAAGGTATTAGAAACATATATATTTCGAGAATACAAATCAAAATGTTGAATTTCAGTTATAAACTCAATGCAAAAACAAAATCTTAACTTAGAATCCTAGATTAAATCGATAAACCAAAGATAAGTTTTGAATCTCGGATTAACTTGATTCTGATGAAAAGATTGTGTAGTTTGCTAAAGAACAGTTTCAATTATTTTTTGAATATTATTTTTTAAATGTTATAAATTTAAAAATTTATAAACAAACTATTTTTTTTGGTGTTATTGTTTAATGAACACTTTTGAATTTGTTTTAAAA